ATTAGACTAGAAGGCGCATCTTAATCATCGTTTAGCGTCCAAGTGATCCATCATGGACGCTAACAAATACGTTCGATAGATAATGTTTCGAGAGTAAAACATTTGATTTTATGACAAATTTTAGGCAAGATTTGGAAATAGAATCGATTAAGCACTATATCAGGTAGTGCAGATGTAAGATCAGCTAATGAATTATATTTTATTAATGAAATTTCATTAGTAAAAATAGGATCACCGATAATTTGATCTAATCGCATATTAATATCCTTTAAAGAATAAAGTACTTCATCATTATTTAATTTCTTGAAAATAATCATAAGTATTTCAACAGGTAAATCTATCAATTGAACAAATGAATATTTCATATCTATTATTATTATCTTCTATTCTTTTTAGCTCAGAAATGTCTATGATTATATATCTCTTCTCATTTATTTTACGTGACCACCGACGTCAATACAAACCAAGCATTTCTTTTTCTTTAATTAAATTCGACTATGAACCAATGAATAATAGCCTTCCTCTTTCATTTTATTTCGTCAATATTTTTCTCATATTCTTTATTATATTCATATTTTATCATCTTTCTATTTATGGACATCACCTATCAGCACACTACTGTGCTTCATCACACTTTCTTTCTCTTCGATGTAAGGGTGTGGGTGTGGGTGGGTGTGGGATGTGGGTGTGGGTGGGTGGGTGTGGGATGTGGGTGTGGGTGGGTGGGTGTGGGTGTGGGTATGAGTGGGTGTGTGTGGGTGTAGGCGCGGGTCTGGATGTGAGTGCCGGTATAGTTGTTGACATAAATCTGACCCACACCCCACACTGCACACCCACCCACACTCACACCCACACCCCATCTTTCCCCTCTTTACTTTTTTATGATTTCAAGCTTGATAGTAAATTTATTTTTGAGTGGAGATATGACATAAAAGTTTTATTTCATTTTGGTGCACAGATCATACTAATAAAACTCTAATGTCATATCTTTGCTCATTAATCAATTTGATGCAAAGTATAGCTCCATAAAAAGATCAAGAGAGAGAAACTTCTGTCTAAGGGTGTAAAATGATTTATTTCATATTTTTATGATTTTCTCGTTCATAAAATGATACCGAATTTCTTAGTCTTTCTAAGTGTCGTCCATGACAGATTGTGTTAGTAGAAGAGAATAGTTTTTGCACTTAGAGCTAACAAAGGTTGCAATGTACACTATGAAAATCGATAAATTTAGGTTTCAAACAGGACTTCGGAAAGCATGAAATATTCGGAAACTCATTTTAATACGTTTCAGAGCATGTCATAAAATGATTTCAAACTTTCCATAGAATTCATAAGAATTTTCTACAACATTCCAGAGAAACATTGCTGAAACTCGCAAAATATTATAGACTGACTAGAAGTATCTTTGCCGTTTCGATTTTTTCTGACAAACTTCATAGTATTAGTGAACTCATTCACATGTCAGTAGTACACGTGCATCAAGCTTGAACATTTGAGGGTGTGAGTGTGGTTGTGATTGTGAATAAAAAAGTGCAGAGTAACATCCACACACACTACTTCGACACCTAATCACATCTACACCTACCACACTCACATTCACACCCATCCTAAACACACTCACATTCACACCCATCCTAAACACACTCACAATCATACCCACACACCCACAGTCAAACCCACACCCACGCCCGGAAAATTTTCTTCTCCAATCAGGTTTCTTCCAGATATCATACGTAATGTAAAATTCGTGTACCAAGCCATTGTGCTCCATTTATTGAAAAAAAATGGTGTTCCACGTGTATTCGATATCAAGTCTTGAGAGCTCTAGTCGACACAGGAACTATTTCTACTGGAGATTAGCGTATGTTTTTATGCGTTTTTACCTCCTGAGTCCTTTTCTGCGCACACTCCGCCGTCGATTGATAAAATATGCCCATACGAAAACAGCAAGAAGAATAGGAAAAACGGTCACAATCTCGAATAATACAAACCATTCGAAACAGTTAGAAGATGGAAGTAGATGCGTTTCTTCCAGTACTGGAAAGTTAACATGCTTCGAGCGATCTGTCTTTAAGTGCAACTCTTTGGAGTGCATCAATGTTTCATTTCGTTGTCTAAACTTTGATGTCGCGGTGTGTGTCGTTCGAGTATTAATTCTTCTTGTTCCTATGTAGCATTGATTAACAAAGTGAGTTGGATTCCATAGATTCGATCGAAAATCAAGAAGAGATGCCTGTTCTATCTTAGCAAAATGGAAGTCAAATATGGGAAGTTCCATAGTAAAATTGAAGTGAAGAGACGGTTCAAGTTTCGTAACAAGAGAATTCATAGGCCCCCGAGTTTTAGGAAAGTTCAGACCTGCTTCTCGATAGCTTATAACGAATGCCTTTTGAAGGGGAAAGTTCGTGTAAAGTGAGTACCAGCCCCGTTCGAAAGCAAAGCGAATAAACCAAGGTGTCCACATTTTGGAATGATGTCGTTGGATCCACCATTCGGTTGAAAGAAGACCTCCTGGTGTGCATGCTGCTTGGAAGTCTTCAAGATTCATTGTTCTGAGCCATTTGAGAAAGGCCGACCAATGTTCCGGAAAGAAAATGGCGCCCCATGTTCCTGAGTTTCAATATTTCGCATATAGATATATTATGAATGCTTCATGACTCACCAAGTAACTGATATTTGAAGAAGATTGGAGCTCCTATCTCGTTGAGTTCTTTCAATGTGGATCGAGTAGGGAGCCCTGTTCTTTGTCCCATCACAGTGGTTTGATGCTGTAAGGATAATCCAAAGACTCGACTATCATAGTTACTTGAATTGATGTAATAGAAATTAATAGCTTTCTTGAGAAAAATATAGAAGAATGGAGACACAACAAGGTCATCCTCAAGAAAAAGTTGTATATCGGAATGATTTGTTCCTGATGTCCATTGACCAAGGATACCGATATGTTGCTTATGAACAACAATGGAAAGAGGACCATGTTGCCACCTACATGAGAAACAAGAATCACAATCAATGTAATTAACAAGGATATTGTGATAGTTACGATAACTGTATCAGTGCTTGTATCACATTGATCAAACAAGACTGAGTTTCTGAGAAAAATAAAGTGCTCGAGGTATGTTCAGCTTTTCGAAAAAAGATAACCGCCAAAATTTCCAACAGATCGATAATTACAAGGCAGTGTGAATGAAAAGATTTCAGAGATAAAAGAAATTTCACTAATTGCGGTAATTTTGGAAATTTGGGTAAATACAGATTTACGGAAGCTGCAAAGTTTTCGAAATTTTCTTTTCTTGGAAACCTGAGCACTGTTGTTACCACAGCAGATTCTTCGACTCGGTATTTCTCTATAAAGTTACGATGAATATTTGTGCATTTTCTCTTCTATTATAGAGATTGGAATATGTGCGGCAGCCTGTGCATATCTGAGTAAAGCCATGAATGTGGTGAAACATTTGTGAACACTGGAGGGTCTGACTAGGGTAATAGATTCCATGAAATCTACATGCGTCTATGGACATCCATACAGATAGTCGCAATGACTGAAAATGTGTGTACGCATATAGAAAAGAAAGTAGTGACCGTTCTTCGCTGATAATAGTGGGCCCTCGTTATGACAAGTAAGTGGCCACCTTTTTACTTTATTGCGCTTTTAAAAGCGTTTCAGGTAGTTGACCACTGCTTGTGTGGTTAGAAGGATAGATACAGCAAGATAAAGGTGACTATTGAAGGATCTGACAAGATATATATATACCTACACATATAGGTTGGCATATGTGTATTTCGTTAGAGCGCCAAAGAAAGCATTAAGCCTGGGGGAAGAGAATATTTATGAAAATGAAGGTTAGTTATAATGACTAACATTGGATTTTATGTCTGTTCAGTTAAATGTAGAACTAAATTAGATATGGTGAGAGGATGTGGTGGAAGTTCATCTCTGTTTGACGAGAAGATCCATATTGATACGCGAGTTAAAATATTACGGTATATTACTTAGGGTGTACCAAAAGTTCTGATCATCATATTTAAAAGACTTTTTCGATAAGGTTTCCTATTCAAAAATGAGAAACCAAATACACCATGTTGTAGAGTTTTTCGAGATGCATCGAGTAGTATATAGTAAATTCTATTTTCATAAGACTCTGAAAGAATTAGAATCAATTTACTGATAGACACTCTACATATCCACATGCATCCATACTAGCACCTATACTCAACAATGATAAATTAATGAATATTGTTGTCCTTGCTATTAATCAAAAATATTTGTAAAATGCCTTTTCTCACATATGACTTTGTAGAACTTTTAAAGGACTACAATCTCATATGCGTAGCATCTCCGATCATCTTGTGGATGTGAATATGGATGGATGCATGTGTGAAAGTGTAGTCGCCTATCAGTAAATTGATTCTAATTCTTTCAGAGTCTTATGAAAATAGAATTTACTATATACCATTAGATGCATCTCGAAAAACTCTACAACATAGTATACTTGGTTTCTCATTTTTGAATAGGACGCCTTATCGAAAGAGTCTTTTAAACATGGTGATCAGAACTTTTGGTACACCCTAAGTAAATGTGAAGTTGAGAGGAAGCGCTATAGAAAGCGAAAACTAAAAGAAAGAAAGGTCAAAAAAAAGAGTTCAAAAATACATAGAAAATAGGTACGATGTACGGGTGTGCGTGTGAGTGCCGGTGTGGGTGTATGGACGTGGATGTGAGTGTGCGATGTAGGTAAAGAGAACACAAAGACTCACACCGATACATGATGATATATAATAGAACTATGTGGATATCACTTTTTTCATTCATGTATCTTTTCCTCCTACTCATGTGTATTTGCATTAGACTTAATCCATCATAAAAAGCTGTTAGTGCAATCCCTTACGGGATTAAAAATGTGAAACACGAAGTAACTGCTCTTTCAAATCTTTTAAAAACTGTTCCTTTCAATATACGTTGAGGTATATTTCTTCACCATGGATTACTTTACATTATATAGTTCAAACAGGATAATATTCCATATATGCTCTAATCATATGTTAGTTATGAGTGAATCCATGGGAAGTCGCCAGGCCCATACAGTGACCATGTCAGAATCCTTTCAAACCATCAAGGTTTGTAGAGAATTTTGCGCTGATCATTTTGATAAAAAAGTATTTA